TCTCTTGTCTGCTTGGGGTTTTAATTCTAAGAGCAGGTCTCCTTTGAGCGTTTTCCTAATATGCCTTACGTTTGTGCCCAGTTCCTCAAGGCCACTATCGCACTTAATTTTCTTGAGAATGTCCGCATATGATCCTYCGTCCTTTTTGGTTATAATAATGGCATCTGGTTTCGTACGAATTCTTTTTTCAACCGGCTTTCTCTTTTTTACCACGTCCACCCATTTCTCGGATGYGGGCTTATCGAGAGAACTGTCTTTCGGTACAATCTTAATGATCTCACTATATGACACCTGCGCTTTGTCGTTTGTGTTTTTTGGTTGGTGGTAAGTAACCTGATAATTCTCGTACCCTYTTTGRCGTATGCTTTYCTCTGGGGATAGGAGATACTTGCGACGCTTTCCCTACCATAGCTCTTTTTAGCGGATTCTCTGGATTTTCAGCCTTGTTATGCAGGCTTCTTATGCAGCTTACAAGGTCTCGCATAGCTTGATTAATATGCCTCTGCCCAGACATCATAGTTTTGAGCTCCTTGATTTTTGTGCCCAGTTTGCAAAAAATATTATCACCGTTCTGCATTTGCTCATCTTTTCCGCACTTGTTTTGTTGGTCGGCGTTTTCACAACTTTCTATCGGTCCAGCAGCGGTGGTCTCMTCATTTTTGCCTTTTGTAGGCGTTCTCATTATCTTTGAATTCCTCCGAAAAGGATTTTATGGTGTACTTCCCAAACTATTTTCAGAGGCCATATCTCTGCCAGAAAATAGTTGGGAACACCTGTCAGTGGGTMTGTTCAGTCCTTTGACCTAAAACCTTAATTGCTTTTTTCTTTAATGACTGGCAATGCCGTAACCAAAGGCAAAAGCGAAGAAGGGGAAACAAAAAAGGAGAAGCAGCTGATCGAACAAAACAAAACGGCAGATTAATATTAAGTGCACGTTTTGTTTCGCTGTTATCTGGGGAAAATCTATTTTAAGTACTTTTGTCTAAATTTACCACGAGAAGGGGAAAGTAAGTAAACAAAATAAAATTTTTATTTCAAATGAGATTTTACTTATCTATTTGCTAGGTTCAATATCCAAAATGAAAGGTCCAGTCTCCCGGTAAGTCGATACCTAAACTATGGCACTTTTACTAATTATAATTATGTGTTTTCGCAAAAAATTCAGGGACTAAAAAGAAACCCGTCTACTCACTTCAAACACAAAACTTCATATAATACTACATACTATGTGTATATTAGTCTGTATGTATATAGAAAATTGTTTATGATGCATGGTATGGAGTGATATGATATTGTTGTATATTTGATTTGTTGAGTGCATGCGTATTGCAAATATGTAAATGCATACGTATTTCATATAACTATAAGCGTGTTGTATATAAATACTWAGATTCATTTATTTACATATGTATATGTGTTTAATTGTGTATGTATGCATGTGAAATATATATGAACATAGATATTTATGTTTAGTAGACTGTAGGTGTGTTTTAAAAAGTATTACAAGGATAAGTTGAAAACTAAATATTCTGCTACGCAATCTTAGCGGCAACGGACACGGTCGGATATACTATCAATTTGTGTATTAATGAAATTGTGCATTTGAAGAAACACAAATATCAAACGTTTTATGTCATCACTTTTGATTAAAATGATTTTGTGGAGAACATCATTTACTTTTATGAGTTGAATTTTCCTCTGTAATATGGAGATTCCATGATCACAATCAAGTTTATCTGATTTCATTCGGTCATTTGTTATGTCATTCCGCAATAGTGTTGGACGTGTGCAACTCCATTTTGGACAAATCTGCCTGAGCATCAAGAATTTTGTTTCAGTTTATACGTTGACGTTGCTGTACCTCGACTCACAGCCGCTGAAGATTTCTTTAGATGGCAATGGGATCACTGCGTTTAGTCTCTGCTAAAACGGCTTATGCGATCAGTCTACTATGCGGGAATACACCCGCCTTACAATTATGTTTGTTTTAATTTGCCTGTACCTTGAACAATACTTTCTTATATAGTGCCTTTTTATTAATACAGGGCTTTTTAATGTATTAATGGCGATTTTAAAGCCAGGGTGGGAAATGAAAGTATCTTTGGCACCAGAGTCGGTAAATTTAGCCTCCACGACGATACATCCCCAAATGGGTTGAGGCTGATCGCCTTCGCCGGAGCCCGAAATATGGTTATTTGTAGTACTAGATCCCAGCATAAGAAGATACATCACGCTACCTGGCTGTCTCCGGATCGAAAAACCACCAACCAGATCGATCATGTTGTGATAGACGGAAGACACGTCTCCAGTGTTTTAGATGTGCGTGCGCTCCGAAGTCCTAACATCGACTCGGACCACTATCTTGTTCCAGGCAAGATTCGCACGCGCCTCTATGTAGCAAAAAACGAACTTCAACAAACACAAGGAAGTTTCGACGTCGAGAAGCTGTAATCACAACAGATAACCGAACGATTTTCTACTGGACTTGCACTCGTCAAGAACTCGGTATGAGGGAACTGTGGCCGTTGTTTTAAACTCGTAATGTACAGCTGCAAACGAAACAATTGGTTTTCTGAGACAATAAAGGAACAGCCCGTAGAATGAGAATTGCCTTGTTACAGTGGAGAGAAAATGGGATACATACCGAGAGTTGAAGAGGAAAGCGAGATGTATTTGTAGACAGAAACAAAGAGAGGCCGAAATACGTGAGTATTAAGAGCTTGGCAAGCTGGCTAACAGAGGTAATGCTCAAGAATTCTACGAAAAAATGCGGCGACTAACAGAAGGTTTCAAGACCGGAGCACCATCTTGAAGAAACCCCAAAGGTGATCTAGCGACTGATGGSCAGAACATACTTAATTTATGGAGGGAACACTTCTCCAGCCTGCTCAATCCTTCCTTAAACGACTATGTAGCGAACGTTCCATTGCTCGACCATGAATAAGTCTGAATAGCAGTTACACGTCTAAAGAACAACAAAGCGGCGGGGCCGAGGAACTGCCGGCGGATAAGATCTGATATAGTGCATGCATCAGCTTCTTTGTAATATATGATCGAGCGAAAACATGCCCAACGATTGGAATTTAAGTTGGCTCTGTCCAATCCACAAAGAGCGAAACCCACAATCTGCGCCAACTACCATGGGACAAGGGACTGAAAGTATTCGACGCAGTACCCGCCGGGGGAAGCAAAGGAAGACGAAGACCTATCTACAATTGGCGGCACCTTGCGAAAAAAGAAATGACTGYCGCGCTGTTGTTAATTAGGCTATAACCGCATAATGGGTTTCTACACCAGTAAAGAAGAAAAATAAGTATTAAAGCTTTGTTGATACTAAATAAGTAAGCATGTTCAATGATATTTGAACCATGCTCATGGTCTTTTTTAATACCAAAATGAATTTGTTGCTCCTGGACAAACTGATATCAGTAATGCACCCGCCTGCATGTGACTCAGAAATATTTTACGGAGGTTATGTTGAATGCCCGTCCTTCCGGGACATGTTTACAGCCGTTTACATCAACCATCCGAAACTATCAATAGCACAAAAATTGTATCACCTCAGGCACAAAACCAAAGGTCAATCAGGCGTAATACTAAAATAGTTCTCTTTTAATGAAGTTTAAAAGTTAATTATCGAAAGAGCAGCAGCTGTTATACTCTTATAGAAGATGGTACCATCTCTGTTAAGTTCGCATGAAAGGGAGTCGCTTTTCTGAAACCTCGTTTGGTATCGAACAGCTTGGAGAGGTCTACCCGATCCTGATGGAGATTTTAGTGTTGCACAAGGTCAGTTTACACAGCCGTATTAGTTTTGCAGGGATATTAAATTCAGACATCGAGTCATAAAGGCAGCTCCTTTTCATACTGTCAAAAGTAGCTTTGAAATCGACAAAGAGGTGGACTTATCCCACGGTAGATGGCGCAGATTATGGGGTCTCTTTTTTGTGAATTGGACAGAGCGCATATATATTCCAATCGTCGGGTATGTTTTCTTCCGACCATACTCTCCAAAGGAGCTGACACATGCTCCTTTTCACTTCTTCGCTGCCTTATTTGAATAGCTCGCCCCGCAGACGGGTAGTTGCTATTCGTATTTCTTCATGGTCRGGAAATGGAACGTCTGCTCCATTGTCATCGGTTAAGAAATCCGGTTCACCATCTTCTGCTGTTATGCTTTCACTACCATTCAACAGGTTGGAGTCTTGTTCTCGCTATAATTGTAGTATGCTCTGGGCATCAGTTATATGAGTACCTCTTGGGGTTTTACAAGAGTATGCTCCGGTTTTGAAACCTTCTCTTAGTCGTTGCATGTTTTCATAGAATTTTCGAGCGTTAGCTCTTTGGCCAGCTTGCTAAACTCACGATTTTCGACCTCTCTCTTTTTTTTATCTGCAAATGCGTCTCGTTTCCCTCTTCATCTTTCGATTCCTATCCCATTCCGCACGTGTTGTAGTCGATTGTAACGTTAGTAGGCAGTCTGTTTTATCTCTACTGCGACACTACAATTCTCATTCTGCCGGCTGTTCCTTTCCCATTTCAGAAAACCAATAGTTTCGTTTACAGTTGTACATTACGAGCTTTAAATACCGACCCACAGTTCCCTTATACTGATTTGATGATGAGTGCTCTCAAGGAGCAGGAGTGCAAGTCGAGTAGAAAATCGTTCGGCAGTCTGGTGTGATTGCATTTTCTCGACACCAAACCATCCATGTGTTTATGGACATGTCTTTTTACTACACAGAGTCGTGTCATGGCTCCAACAACACAACATGGCTCTAAAACACTGGAGACGTGTCTTCCATTTATCACATTATGATCGATTTTCGATCTGAAGACAGCCAGTTACCTTAATAAATTTTCCTATGCTTAAATTTAGTACTGCAGGAGGCCACATTTTGGTCCCCGGTGAAGTCGATAGGCCTTATACCACTTGGGGCTGAATTTACCAACAAGTGTGCCAAAGATACTTTCCTTTCCCACCCTAGCATTAAAGTCGCCAAGCATGATTTTGACATCGTGGCAGGGATCGTCTCTTATAGGTGCGCTTCAAGAGCTCATAGTAGACATCTTTGATCATATCGTTCTTCTCTTTCATCAGGGTTGAAAATCTTCGCTTTAATGCGGATTGTTGATAGACGTTCATCGGGGTGAATGCCAGCACTCGGCGACGGAGTTTGTCTCACAAAATGGCGTTGGCAAATCGTTAGAACTCAAAGGAATTCGTAGAATCAAGCATTCGGCTCCGATAGCTGCGTCGCGATCAGTTGGGTTCCATTGCACAGTTTCGGCGCATGAAGATTGCGAAACATAATAATGACAGACCCAACTTTGAGACGCAAATGATGCGGCGGCATACCAAGCCTCTTCAAAGAATTTAGAAATTACACTATATAATTCACTATATTCTATACTAATATGCACTATATAATTCTTAGCGAATACGATGTGAAATGCTTTCGGCAATGTAATTTTTGTTCGTATCCCACAATTGACGCAGATTTGAAGGCTGATATGTTGAAATGATCATCGCGAAAAGTGTGCGAAATTCAGTTTCATGAGAAGTAGCTATCGCATCGTCCATCGTTTGATTCCAGCGATTACCAGTTTTCAGCAATTGTAATTGCTGGCATTCTTTTCAAAAAGTTGCACACACTGTACCATTCACARTACGCAACGACTGAAATGAAGTTGAACCGCGCACATTAGTCAATAATACCCGAAGGTAGAAGCAATCATCGTTTTTCGGGTGGATTGTGTAATTTCATCCTAATGCATTAGTTGAGAACACAACTGAATATCCATATACTGGTTGGCCCTGTTTTCTGTGCAAAAATTAAAATAATAATTAAATATGTGAAGAAATTAATACAGAATGTTTGTAGAGTAAAAGATGTTATTAAACTAGAAAATGAACGCAGTTCCACTAAGAAATTTTTGTATAACGAATAAATTGAAAATTACCAAAATATATGAATAATAATAATCGTAATATAGAATATTTTGCTACTAATTCGAATAATTTTCCATTTTATTCTAATCAAGAGGATTATCTAAAAAACTATCCATATTGTAATCGAAATATGTATCCTAAAAATAAGCAATTTTTCAATCAATACAACGAATATAGCAATCGACAATCTAATTTACAAAACAATAATTTCCTAGAAGTTATGCATACTTCTTTAATTTTGCAAACATTTATACCAATAAAAACTTAAATAATTCAAAGATTCATGGCTCAAACCAGTCTCGAATAAAACGATTCGGTTATCTTGAACCACTGGAAAAAATGCAAAAAATTTTTTACTTGACAGCCTCGGAAGATTCCCCACAATTGAATTCAAATTAAATAAAGAGGAAAATTATGACTGAACGCGGTTCTGATTAAAAAAAAAAAGTCGTTCAAAAATTTTTTAATAGTTATGAAGATTTACTTGGTTATATCAACTCAAGCTACTTAAAGCTAAAGTCGACGAAGAAATTTGATACATATGAACCGGATTCGTTATGATATTCTCAATAATTAATCAAATAGTAAAAATGCTTATAATTGTCTTCAAGAATTAAATGTAAACGAAAATCATAATACTAGATATTGAATTATGACTTGAGTATCTAAACTTGGAGGAATTAAATAAATTAGAAAACTGTTTAACTGTGTTTCATAAAGAAAGGGATAAGCTCTCCTTTACTCATAAAATAAAACGTAGAATCAAAACTCATCTCATCTATGTAAAATCCTGTTGGTATCATGAAATCCATAAATTGGAAGTAAACAAGCAAATAAAAAAATGCTCGAAAATCAAATTATTTCACACAGTGATTGCCCATATTCAACACTAATTTGGGTTGAACCACAAAAAGTCAGATGCTTCAGGTAAAGAGGAATGGGGAATTATTGTTAATTTTCGTAAACTTACTACGATTACTATCGACGATATGTCTCCTATTCCAAACATGGCTGAAGTTCTCGAAAAACTAGATAGGTTTATTTTTCAACAATAGATTTAGCTCAAGGCTTTCATCASATAGAAATGGATTTGGCAGATAGAAAAAACCCCTCTTCTATTCAAGAGGACAATTTGAATTTTTAATAATGCCATTTGGGCTTAAAATGGACCAGCCACTTTCCAAAGGATGACGAATACAGTTTTGGATGGATTAATAGGAAAGGATTGCATGGTTTACTTAGACGACATTGTAGTATTCAGCACGTTACTACAAGGTACGTTCCAAACAGGACTTTTTGAATCTAGCGCCCCCTGGTGGCGCCATCTATATGTTGACTGGTGCATTAGAATCTCTTATCTTTACCGATTATCCAGTAACCGAACATTTGTGCTTACGAAAGGTGTGTGCACCAAAAATTGCCCAGAATCCGTCTCATTGATCAACGCTTGTGACCGATTATTTGACCAAAAACCACATTTCAACCATTAACTACGCCCCGCATTCACCTGATATGGCACGGGGGGACTTCTTCCTTTTCGGAGAAATGCATTTGGTCATGAAAGGAAAGCGTTATGCAGACCTAGAGGCCATTCAAAAGCCTTGCATCGGCATATTGGCGGCCATACCGGCCAACGAGGTAAAATACTCGTTTGATATGCTTTTGGACCGTGCAAAAAGCTATATTGAAGCAGAAGGAAACTATTTTGGATAAAATAAATTGATTTTGCCGAAAAACCATTTGTTCTGTGTTTTTTATAAGTCCTGTTTACTTTGGAACCCATCTTGTACAGACATATATAAAATCTCTACACAGAGTTTTTCGTAGAATAAGCGAAGGAAGTCTAAAAATTCCGATGGAAAAAAGCTAGTTTTTCGAAAGAGAAACATAATTTCTCGGTCGTATCATAACATCAGAAGGCATTAAACCCAATCATAATAAAATCAAAGCAATTTTACATTATCCCGTTCCGGAAAATAAATAAAACAATTTCTTGGTTTAGCGGAGGTTTATCGAAAATATATCCGAAATTTTTCAGAAATAACAAAACCCTTGACTAATTGTTTTAAAAAAGGCAATAAATCGCTCAGATGAGAAATTCGTGGAAGCAATAGACACTGTAAAAAGCTTAATTACAAACAATCCGATTCTGGCATACCCAAGTTATAAAAAAGATATTTACACTGACGACAAAGATGRAAAATTCGGCTAAATGAATTCGACTTTGACGTAAAATACATATCTCGTATTAAAATCAGATAGTGCCTCTTCAGTGAAGAATCTGAGTCTAATATAGATACTATTCTTTCCACTAATGAAGATGCTAGAAGCTTCATTTGATAAAAGAACGACCTCTAAATGTATTCAGAAATCAAATTAAATTAATGGAGATTAAGATTCAATCACAATGTCAAAAGTTTTTTTTTTTCAAGTAACTTTAACATTATAACATATTAAATTCCCACTTTAAAATATATCAAAGAAATAATTAATAATTAAGGTAAGGAAATATATTTTCTACGAATTTCTTAAAAATGCATTGCGTAATTTTAGTCTTACGTTTTCTACATTATAGAGCATACTTTTGACAACCTAGGGTAATTTTTTTATGCAGAAATAATTATTGAAGCCGGTAACAGAGCTTCTCCCAGAACATCTCGGCTGAAAATTATCTGATAATAAAAAACCAAGAAAAATTAGTCAAATTATAATCAAATCCTCCCCAATCGTTCTCTGATCATTTTTTTTTTYAATTTTTTGGCGGCTATTTAAAGTAAAAACTATTTTTTCCATTAAAAAATTATTTTGTGCGTGTAATGTAAAAAAAAATTTAAAACGAGAGGGGGAGGTATTCTACATGTAAAAAATGCGTATAAAGTTTAAAATAAATCGGTTAGTTAGTTTTTGAATGACAATGTACATGAACTTCGAAAAAGTAGTTTTGAGAAAATCGCGTCTAAAATGTTTAACGAAAAAGTGACGCAAAAAATTGCTCTATATTGTCAAAAGTGTGCTCAATAATGTACAAAAGGTACGAATAAAATTGCTCAATCTATATTTAAGAAACTAATTCGGGAAAAAAGTATTTTTTCCCCATGAAAACCCTACCACTCCTTAAGATTGCAACGATAGAAGAAGTTAAGCTTTTGAATTGGTTAGAAACCAAACAAGCATTGTTAAATATCTTTAGTTGAATGGGTCCTCTAAAAAACTAAAAATTTGGCCAAGATCTGGGATTAAATAATGTAAATATCAATCAATGGTATAATTCATTAATTGTGACMGTAGAAGTAACTACAGGTAAAACTGGTATTGGGGACATTGAAAGATTGCAGAAAAGTTGAAATGAAAAACTTAGAATAATTAACATATCAGATGATAAAAAGCTAGGTATTAAGAAAGTGAAYAAACACTTTTCACGTACAGTCATGTTATAGTGCACTTTATTATTAATGAAATTCCACATATAAGGTTTTCAAATATCTCCCTTCTGACCTTGTTGTCTTTTGAATTTCGCGGCTATGTATAAAGCGCTACAGAGTTTGTATATACTATACATTTTTGAAAGGTCTTGACATAACCTACTAAACGCCGCTATGCATGGTTAGTTCGGATATTGCGTTCAACAGTTATATACTTGTAAACATGGAGTTCACTAACGTCGAAATTTTAAAGTTTTCCTTCGTTTCGTCCTTGGAAAAGCTAACCGCGGAAGACCTGTGACGACGAACACCGATGAAATGATGGAAAAATCGAGTTAGACCGGCTGGCAACTCGTGACATCGCCCAAAAGATGGGAGTTAGTCACCAAGCCATTTTAAAGCATCTGCAGAAGGCTGGATACACAATGAAGCTTGATGTTTGGATGCCGCATGATTACAAGCAAAAAACCTTCTGGACCGAATCAACGATATGCTGTTGAAACGGAATGAACTCGACCCGAGCGGATTTTGATTGTCGACGAAAAATTGATCACATACAATAATATCAAGCGAATACGGTCGTGGTGGAAGGCTGGTGAATCGTCCGAAAAAATGACCAAGGCGGGATTGACGGCCAGGAAGGTTTTTCTGTGTGTTTGGTGGGATTGGAAGGAAATCATCCTCTATGAGTTACTCCCATATGACCAGACGCTTAATTCTACCATCTACTGCGAACAACTGGACCGCTTGAAGCAGGCGATCGGCCAGAAGCGTTCACAATTGGCAACAAAAAAGTCAGGATCCTCAAATGATTAAAGATCGAAGAATACATAATTTAATAAAAAAGCCGTTATGAAAAAAATAATGATACAAACTTTCTAAATGCAGAAGTATCGATGAAGATACTAGACAAGATGAGTAAACGGTACAAAAAATTTAGTCTTATTAAAACTGAAGATGAGAAAGAACATCACATTTATAAATTTAAAAACCAACATGTAAGAAAATATAAAAACCAATTTAAAGAAAAAAAAGATAGCTAAAACTAAATATATGAATTGAATACTTGTACTTTATCACTGTTTTCTATACATCATATTAATTTTTTTTACTCATTGTAACATGCTGGCCTCATCTTTATATAATGTTAAACTATTATTTAAGCATTCTTACTTGTATGAAAAATGAAGACATTGCAGCATTAAACAGTCCTGTACAGCGGTGCTGTTTAATCTAAGCGTTCTTCTGAAAATCATTAGAAGTTGCCACCTTATCCATTAACCATGCGTTTTTTAAGTCGTCTTTAAGTGTTTATCAAAAATAATTTCCAAAATATAATAGGATCAAACATGTTTGTTTATTTTAATCAACTAAAAAATATTTCTTATAAAATATAAAATAAAAAATTTTACTTGTATTTTTATATTTTAAATAATTGTATTTAATAAATTTACTCCACAATTGTGAACTATTATAAAATATATAATAATAAAACTAAGAATTTATATTTTTTCATATCATTGTTTTAAGGGGATATATTCTTGAGGTTTATAACAATCACTTTCAACTCCCGGAACTAGGTCCAATAGGAGCAAATGGTTTGGCTAATCCGCGCGATTTTCTAACTCCTGTTGCATTGTTTGAAGATAATGATGAAGGTTTGTAAAAGAGCTCTTATCGTTTGGATTCATTTATTATAAAAATAAGTTCCATCTGCAATTGAACTTCGAGTTTATAAACTGCTTCCATTTAATAATTAATTAATAATATACATATACTATATAAATCTTTATAATTAATCAATTAAATTTCATCAAGACACACATAACTTGTTTCATAAATAGAACATAATTTCTTCCTAATACTTCTAGCATTATATGGTATAATACAATATATTCGTCTACTGTTTTTAGAACTGCAAGAAATAGGTTCTCACTACACACATCCTCTTTGCTGAAATTACAAATACGAAACATGTTAGGAGCATCGGCACAACGACAAACACAATCAGAAAATTGTTTTCAATGACTGTAGAATATGTCAGACCAAAACTTATGTTTATTTTCTTGCAATGACATGTAAAAATATAATTGCAACCTTGTTTAAGCTGTCATTTTACATAAAGACATATTATCAAAATAGCCATTCTCAATAAATTGATAATAAATTCTCAAAAAATTTATAATAAATAAATCAGCCGTTCATATATCACTAGATTGCAATGGGTTCTTTCTTTACCTCGCAATCTTGCAAGAGCAAGAGAATCCCTATATTAAGTTTATTTCAAAAGGCCAAAGAACATAACTTAACCTCTACCAGTATTACTGGCCGACAAGAGAATATATCACCTTTTCTGTAATCCATAGATGCCGCTGCTGCCTTAGAACTATTGTAACACCTAAAATTAATCGATACAGATATAGAGTTATATACTTACATATATATAAATGTATATATATAAATGATCATGAGCCAGGCGCTTAGTATTATAGGTGGGCATAATCGGACAACTTCCACGCGGAAAAATGAGGTCAATGGAGAATATAATTTTTTATCTTTTACCCGATATCTTTTTGAAACTCCGTTAGCATCTTTCTTTGTTAATGATATTTCATACTACTAAAACTGGATAACATATAATCAATATATTCTTTAGCCCTCATATATGTACTTAATACAAGAACTAAAATTTCCGGCTGGTTTTATATCGCATAAAGCTAGTGTGTTAGAAATCATATCACAATTAAGTGAATGTATATATGAAATACTATAGTTTAATGTGGAGAAAGTATGAAATAAGTCTGCGAATTATTCAAGCCCGTAATAATTTTGTTACTCTAGCAGATTTTCTGCCCTATATGTCCCTGAACTCGTGAATTATCTTATCTCTCAATACTCACGATACAATGATTTCCGACTTTCCACCTGACTCTAACTCGATTATCGTGGTCCTCACATATTATATGTTATTGAACTGAAGTCAATAAGATTTTTAGACCTTAATGGAAACCTTAATGTCTTTTTCGGGGTTATAAAATGTCCTGTTAACCCCGAACTTAGCAGCTCTAGAATGGAAATCATGTTTTGTGTTAAGAAAGTTGTAAAAGTTATTTGAGAACTCGTGTATAAATTTAACAACCCTGGCGTAGGTCAATGAGTGTCAAGAAGTGTGGCCGCAAGCCGATTTTCACCTTGCGCTGTGGCGTGCCGCGCCACCGGGCACGGTTCGTCCTACAGATATGATCACATATATCATTTATTCATAGACAATTTCACGATTTTAGGCGAATTTCCGAAATTTCAAGGAAGGAGTTGGGGTTAAAGATGCAATCCGATTTCAAAACAAAAAGTTGCATTGGAATCAGGAAGTACTAAGGCAACGTTTCCGCACTATTAGAAATCCCGAATCGAAAAAAGTCGGGAATCGACCCACCCTATTGGTTATGTCACTTTATGTTTCCTTTAAAGACGTTTTGTGTTTCCCGGATTTGAACTTTTCTCTTCATCTTGATCATAACGCTATATCTATCTATAAGTTTTTGGTGATACGTCAACTGTGAACAGATCTATTATACTTTGTAGAAACATGTTTCAAGAATGTAAAAATTACAATTTCGCTTTGCTGTGGAAATTACTTAACACTAGTATGATAAAATAAAAGTTATATTGCCGTCGAAGAAAAGTTAGAACAGTTTAAATACACGATTTCTGACATGTTTTTAGAAGTAGAGAGGTATTAATAAATTTTAGTACTAGACAAATAAATGCCAATTATTTTAACTCATGTATTCAAATAAAATTTTTGTCTAGATTTCCAGATTATCTGCAAATATCAAGGAAAGCTTTTTTCTGCCAAACAATCACATTCACCATTTGATGTTGTAGCTTGGCATGGAAATTATGTCCCCTTCAAGTATGATTTGTCAAAATTTATGGTCATAAATTCAGTCAGCTTCGACCATTGCGATCCTAGCATCTTTACGGTTCTCACTTGCCCAAGCTTTCGTCCAGGCACTGCTATTGCGGACTTTGTAATATTTCCACCAAGATGGGCTGTACAAGAACATACTTTCCGGCCGCCATATTATCACAGTAAGTTAATGACACTATGTAAAAGTAATTAAATGAGAATAGAGATATTCAGGGTTGGTGGAATCAAAGACAGATGTGCTTAGTTGTGAGAATTGCAAACCAATTCTTGCTTTCAATGGTCTGATTAATATGAAAAAATTTGAAAACGGATAGATTTTGAAGTAGTTGTATTAAATTTTATGGGTTTTACCAAAAATCATACTTTTGGAACCGTTCTTTTTCGAATTAATCAGGAAAATATGCATTCCGATTCAAAGGAAATCTGGTGTTCCTCAAGGTAGTGTGTTAGGAACCATCAATTACCTAACCTTTACGTGCGTTCTGCCACACGGTGACAATATTATTACAGCTATACTACGATTTGTCTGTCAGCAAAACACAAACTGCATCAGTTACAAGATTTAAACAAAATATTGGAATAGACTGCTAAATGGCGATAAAATTAAACGAAACTAAATCAGTACATTTCGATTTCACTTAAAACAATATTACAAGTAGATACATACATATATGCCACAGTTTATTAGTGGCGGCATATCACAATACTGCGAAATACCCAGGCGCCATGCCATGCCTGTTCACAAAACTTATATGGAATGTACATGTCTAAAAGAAAAATTAAAGATTAGAAACTTTGCTCTATCCACATATAACGAAATTCTTGTTTGTTGTGAAAAAGGGTGAGGTTCAAACTGTACGGACGTGTTTTTTAATTCGCTCCGTTTAATCAGATTGTGCAAAAAGTAACCAATCAATAATAATAAAATAAACAATAGTGCACGAAATAAATAGATAAAAATCCGTTCCTTAAATACCTACTTCAGCTTTGCCGAGGCAACAAAAACCACGCTTTGCAAAAAACTGTAACGGCGATGATGAGTCATCACCGGCGATCAGCTGAAATGGAAATTAAAGAAGAGTAGTCAGTAAAAGCTGTAGTATACAACAATCAGGCAACAACAAATGAGCTGACAGCAAAAACTTTACAGCACCCGAACAGCAAATTAAAACAAAACGCAAGGTGAGGTGTACCAAGCAAAAAAGGACCATCTGTTCCGACTGGTATTGACCGCTACATAAATGTAAAAAAGAAATCCAGTCCAATAAAATCAGCGGTTAATACCAAAAAATTTCAACCAGGCACGCCAAATGGTAAAAAGCCAGAAATTCTTAATGGCAACAGATTTTCCTTGCTGAGCAAGGAGCCTAATGCTGATGCAAAGGGTACACACCACAGTCGTGAATGCCAGAGCACCTCCAATATATTTGCGTAGCGTAGCTCAAATGCGCTTGTTTCCAAACTAAACAAAATATGAAATGTGTACTTGGAAAAAGTTTATACAGATGAAAAAAAAAAAAAAATTCAAACATATGTACACCGAAAAAAGTACCCTACGCAGCAAATCAAAATACAATAGTAATTGTGAGGAAAATCATACTGCAACGTGTCGGACAGTTAAAATAAGCAATTTTCTAGTACTCCAAGCGAATGCAGTAGCTTACCTTGGGATTCACCTGTATCGAAGGCTCACTTGGCGAAAACATATAGCGAGTAAAATAACTTGCATGAAATTAAACGCAGCAAATTTTAATTGGCTTTTAAACAAAAATTGTAACTTAACCTACACAGCAAAGTCCTGTTATACAACGCAATCATAAAAGCAATTTGGCATTCCAAATGAGGGGTACGACCTGTGCAACCAACTTTTATATAATACAAAGGTTCCAATCAAAAATGCTTAGAACAATCACGGGCTCACCATGGTACATGCGCTAGAAAAACATTCATAAAGATCTTGATATTCCTATGGTATAGAAAGAGATAGATTACAGCAGAAAAAGATGTATTTCTAAATTTGGCGAACAACAAGTAAGAAAGTGGCAAGTTCGGGTGCAACCGAATATTTTATACTATTACAACTTGCAGAAATCAAGAGTTGAAGGCAGGAGCGATACACTTGTGTAGGTAATAAAAGAAAGACACCTAATTGCGTGTGTATGAAGTGTACCTTATCATTGTGGCGTTAGACCTGGAAACTGTACAATTGATTTGGATCGACATCACGGTAAGGATCTCACAACTTTTGCACAATTGTCTGCAAGGTGTAGCATTTCTCACATAAACTAAAGGTAATTTTCCAAGACCCCAGGTACTTAATAAAGGAAGCAAGGGAGTGATTGACATATATTATAAGTAAATACCAAAAATCAAAATTTCAATGAATGATATTAATATATTTTTCTACCATTGAATTGCGATATTCCATCTTAAAAACACTTTATAAGAATTGAAGTTAAAGCGTATAGTTTTTTGAATGTACAATTTTATTTATACTTGTAGGAAACTGTATGTCAGAATTCATGGGATTAATCTTTGGAAAATATGAAGCAAAAAGTAACGGGTTTTTACCTGGAGGCGCTACTCTTCATTCTATTATGACACCGCACGGTCCAGATTATCAATGCTTCGAGAATGCATCTCGTGTAGGTTTAATACCTGAAAGGGTTGCTGACAAAACACAGGTAATACGATAGTAAATGACAATAAGTCTAAGTAAAATTTCACTCCTGATGAAATACTGATAAGGGGTATAAGGGGTTGGCTACTAATAACCTTCGAATTTTGTATAAAATTGTGATTGCAGGAAGCATATATAAAAAGTAKCGCCTGTAATATTTCAAAAATATAATTCGACTTGTTACTAGTTTTATTTACCTAGAGGGTCTTTGTTTCATCTAAAACTAAACGATGTATATATAGGGTTATATATAAATGATCAGGGTGACAAGTCGAGCCTGAACTCCCTTTGCCACTCCTAAAATCATGTGTAATCGAAAACATATTTATTAAGTGTCATAACTACATTAGTACCAAAAACAAACAAAAGTAAAATTAGTTAAAACAAATCACATTATGCAGGGGAAGTTTTGGCATGGTGTCACACACTAGTAGGCTTAATATATATAAATATTTCAAAAACTACTAAAGCTATATCAAACAAATTAGCTCATGATAAGAATTTTCGTCATTTTCTAAGGCACTAAATGAACATCTCGGAAGCATTAAACTTCACAGGCAAAATGCTACGTTTATAACTGACCTCACGGTAAGTCTAGTCGAGCGCAGTAAAGTCAACAAGTTATATACCCAGTTGTTATATATTGCTGATGGTATGTGAGGAACCTTAAAATCACTCATATAGCATTTTTTTTTTTGTTAATAATATGTGGTAAAAATAGATAAACCTGATTTAATATAAGATATCTAATAGGCCTGACAGACGACAGCGCTAATTTGCATTAGCGGGCTTAATTTACATTTACTTGCGCATTTCACCCATCTTAATGCAAATTTGTAATGCACAAGAATTTCGTGCATTTAGCAGAATTTAACAAAATGAGTAGGCAACACTGCTTAAATTTCATATGTCTGCACATATTTGCTATATATATATGTACATAAATGATAAATTATCATAATATCCTAAAAAACTTAATATATTACAACAATAATACTCGTATATATAAATCACACCTCTTATCATTTAAAACTTTCATACGCATCTATCCTGCAGATATTTACATATGTATGTATGAACAAATCAATTTCAAATCAAGATATTATCATTTATCATTAACATAATATGCGTGCTCTGCTCTACATGTACATACACATATGTATACATACATATGTGCGTATGACACATATAATGTATACACAAACCTACATATAAATATATCTGTATACACATGTAAATATGCCGCCCGCGAAAGCTTCCAATATTGTTCTACAAAACACAACGAAAAAAAAAAACAAAAAAAAACAAAATCGTCTTAAACAGCATCATACATACTTATATGTATAGTATATGTCTCCCGCAAAAATTACAAATACTGTTTACAAAAACAACAATCGTCTGAAATACCATCAGAAATCAATATGGCAGCCCAATTGCCGACGTCAAAATTTATATATAAATTACACAACAACAAAATTTTCTTTCATGAACGCAAACGACCTTCCTGATAATATGAGCAGGAAAAAGTGACAACCCCGTAAAAATAAGTATTRAAATATATTAGAATAAAATTGACAACATACTTTATTTGTCGATTTGCAAGTCAAGAAATGTTTCAACAAAAATATTCAATATTCCTCTGATTCATGTGTACAGTCAATGCCGGCTAAGTAGTACTACGCTTAAATGAAAATCATCTGCATCTCACGATTTGTTTTTTGAAATACCTAAAATTTTTTTTATTTTTATTTATTTATTTATAAGAGTAATAATTGTAAATAATTATTCCACTTAAGTCGGTGGCTTCAGATTTCGTAGATTATAATGGGTGAACCGACTTTCAGGACCAAACGATGCGGTGGCAGACCGGGGGATCCCCGGATAGTTGGATAATTGACTACTTCATATTGATTCAAAACGCTATCAATCGATGTATATGTTGTAGCTTCTCCTGGCAGTTTTCTTGAATGGCAAAACTGATTTCGTTGACGTGTACATTTTTCGGTGCCAATATTGCGCGTTCACTTAAATAATCGTGGCGTTGGTAGTGTTGAACAATATTCGGACATACACTTTCAATCAATTCTTCTTTCGATTGTAAAAGTGTACAAAAGTTGTTCGGCAATGTGATCAAACCGGTATCATCGATTGGTATTCTGCCTTCGCCAATGTCCAACAACTGCTTCGAAAACGCCGCTGCGGATCGATCATTTTGCAATTGGACTTGCATGTTGATGGTAAGAGTCAGCCTTTTAACATGTCTCCACAAAACGGACGATTTTAAACATGCGTTTAGTTCGTCGGCAGGAGTTGATCAAGGAATGAATGACAAAGTCTGCCGAAAATCGCCGGATAATAAGACCAAAAAGTAGTTGCTTTTGACGTAAATTTTGCATTATTCTATTGAATGCTTCTAATGACTTTTTGTTAGCCATTGGGCACTCATCCCATGGAAATATTCCAGCTCCTCGCAAAACTTTTGCCATTGCTGAATTCCTGGACATGTTGCACCTTGGTGTTTCAACGACTTGGATGTTCAATGGTAATTTCAACGCAGAATGTGCTGTTCGGCCGCCATCAAGTAGAGTAGCAGCGATGCCTGACGAAGCAATTGCCAGCGCAATTTTCTGCTGTGACCGTATAGTAGCACGAATTAAAGAGATCAGAAACGTTTTCCCTGTACCACCGGGCGCATCCAGAAGTAGAATCCACCGGCGTTATTGTCAACCGCTCATATAATCTTATCATAAGCTTTCTGCTAAATATTCAATTTGGTAATGTTAGCTTATATGAAAGCACGCAATTCATTGCAATCGTGTTGTTGTTCACGTTGAAGCTCATAGTCAAGCATATCAATCGCTGAACGATTGGGCGCAGTTATGCCAAGTTGCGCTAAGGCCTTATTCGCAATTGTAAGGCACAGATCTTCGACCAATATCAAAGCATCATTATACATTTGTAATATATATAGCAAATCTGCGTCCGATGCTCGATTACACGCCAAAATTAATAAGGCCTCGGTCATGCAGTCCTTGTACTTATTTCACAGTTCTTGCGGATTTGACGTATTTATTTTGGATGAGATGTGAGTGATGCGACACGAAGTGAGGTGTCATCATCTTCTAACAAATGCAATCGCTGACATGCTGCACGATACGTCGCACACAACTGACCGTCAACAGTTTTCAAATCATCAAATGATCTTGGTCCGCGCACGATGACTAATAGCAGACGCAAATAGAAATATTCGGCGTTGTTCGGATGAATGGTGTAAATGCGACCTACGGCATCGGTTTTACGGACATTTGGATAACCGACAATACGCTGCCCTTGCTTTCGTCGTTGAAATGTTTTCAATGATGGATTCCAAGTGAAATATAGCAATGTTCTTGCAAATTCATCGTTTTCACACAACTGAAAAACGTAGTTAGTGTTGTCCCCGGTGGTCGTGCTGCGCTCTGTTGAACATTGTCTGCAATGAAATAAACGCTTTGACCATTTTCGAGATGAACTGCCAAATGAAGAACAACGGGATGCCGGTCGTGTATTGGGAACGATAAATCCATACCGCTTCTTTGTTGCCGATGTATGTTTCTGGCAATATAGTCAGACGTCCAAAGCTATTCACATTTGCATCATTCATTAAGACATCTCTCAAATGGATGTACACTTCAGAACGCAATTTCGCTTGGCTGAATAGAATAAAGTTGACACGTTCGGTCTCGATCTTCGCATACATGTCAACCAGATACTGATGGAAAAGCTTGCGATATTTCAGGATATAGTTGTCTTCTTGCGGACGAATCTTCTTGGCCTATAAATGAACAATACACAAAATATTGAATCGTAAGTAACATTTCTTCTCAGAAATTGTACTCTTTTACCAGTAGTTGGATTTATCAATCGCACATTGATGTGATAGCCGTCATCACCTCTCCAGAATAATATCGGATACTATTATGCATCATAACTACGGTGTAGTTCGGAAACATGCTGAAGTTGTTCATCTCTAGTGCAGTACAATATCTCGCGATTCAAACTATTCGCCAACAATGACGATTGCCACCTCTTCGATTGTTGGTGCGTTGAATCGTCTGGATGCTGCCCCATCGGCATCTTGTCTGCTCTGATGACGATTCGATGGTTATCAGACGGCATGCGGTCCAATGCGATTTTGAACAATCGAATCAATTCATTGTGTTCATGGAGAAATCTTTGCAAATTTTGTACGATTTCTCTCCTTGTGCCGGTCGAAATTTTACATCGTTGATTTAGTTGGTCAGTTTCATTACCGATGAAATATATTTGCAAAAATTGATAGTCGGCATCGGCAAATGGTATGAGCGAGCCTGCTCGATGGTATATTTGTCCCTGAGTCTGTAGAATAAAAATGTCAAATATTTCACTGGAAATTCCATGCAAAGTAATCACCTTGAACGTCGGCATAAATGGATCTCTGATGATCTTTGTGGCACCAAAAGAAGTCATTTGAAAGCATGAATCGTATGCTTGTATGTTCTGCAAGAAATGCTTAGAGGTCGGCGATTCTCCAGTGAGCAAGGAATGTAATGGTTCTGGTGGTGGGTCCAAAGCAGGACGTTTCACTTTGCCACTGGAGCAGCACATGCCAGCTGTTTCTCCTCGAAACTTCGCTGCATTGCAATGCGTACAAATAATATCCATTGCTCCAATGGCACCATGCAGGCTGTAGTCGCAGTCAGGATCCTAGTGAAAGCCAACATGTTCCATTTGATCACGAAGGCGGAGCGGAACTCGGCCTTGACGGTAATTTGGCCGTTGATTGTCGGCGAATTCAGCTCTAATCTGTGCACGCCGCTCTCTGTACACCGCTCTACCTCGGGCATTCACTTGAGCGCGTTGCTCTTCGATTTGATTGCCTGGATGCAGCTTCCTTCTGACATTTCTTTCGTAAAATTTAGTGTTTCTGACGTTTTTTGTTAGTCGGTTAACGCACTTTTAGTGATTTTCAACATAACCTTTATA